CTAAAATTTATATATCAAATGTACTTGCAACAAGCGCACGACTTTCAAATTTCCCACAGGGAAAATCCATCAAATTTTTTAGTGATTTGAGGTTACAAAATGTCACTTAGTGACTTTTTGGGGAAATACATGTTTCTTTACCACGAACTTAAAACTCGTTAAAATACGTTCATCATTAAAATGTTGAGAAAATATTAACGTTTTATATAATGATATTCCTCAGAATTTTGTCTAGCGATATTAAAATTTGACTACCGAAACTGATTTTATTTTTCCAAAAAAAAAAAAAATTAAAAATATCTACAAGGAATGCCGCGTTACTTTTGCTTTATCTGAGAAATATTTGTTTAATATTTTCTTTATATCTATTTTATTGTTAATAAAATTTAAAAAAAAATTCTTTTTGAATCGTAATACAAATATTTATTATTTTTATAGGTTCCAGTCATTACATTCAGTCATTATTAATTACACTTTCATTTTTTTAATTTTGTTTGTTGAGCAATTTATTGTTTATTTTTTTAATTCATAGTAAAAAGTTTTTTTAAAATAAAATTTTAATAATTTTATAGGTTTTTTGTAATTCATTTACTACCAGTTTTTTTTTTTGTTTTTTTTTTTGTATTTTGAAGCAATTAAATTGATTTTTCCATTAATAGTTTTCGATTTCTAGTTCAAGTTTTTGTTTTCTTCATTGACAAATCTTAATAATTTGATACATTTATGTTTTTGACAAGTAATATATACCTAAATATTTAATTGTTGTTATTAAAAAGCTAAAATTTCGGTTCAGTTTTAATCATGTTCCTGTTATTTCCAAAATCAAAAATATCGTGAACCGAAATATCGAATTTCAATATGTATTTTCGATAAATCGAATCACTATAGCGATATATTTGAAAGACAATACAATACATATCGATACAATTTTACGATTTTTATATCCATGCAGTAAAACATTGCATTCCAAGTACCCCTTTAACGGAAAAATACTAATAAAAATGATATCCGAGATGCAAATAAAGATCCTATACCATCTGGGTTTCCTTATTGGGCATAGATCTAAATCTATATTATTTATATAATTGAATTATTAATGTAAACTATAAACTGTTTTAATATTCTTTTTTTATCAGAAGGTAAGTCCGTTTGAAGTTGTAAAATGATGATCAAAAATTGATAAATTTATCTAACAGAACTGAAAGAAGTGTGTTGATTTCGACAGTTTCAAAATAAAGGAATCTGTATTAATTCTCCGTATTACTTTTTAGCATCACCAACTGTATGAGTCCATTGTTAATAATATATACTAAAAACTCATGTACGCTCATTTGCTTTCCACTTGAATCGTGTGGTAATGTGATAATAAAATCGACAGAATAAGGTGGCCTACAAAAATGTCTGGCCGTTCGGTGTGACATCCTCCCCCAACATTATCTAACGATTCAGGAAAGCAAATGGGTATTCATGGGTTTTTAGTACCTAATTTAATAGACAAAATTTGCCAATTTCCAGATTGAAAACACACCAATTCCGAAAATTTCCGTAAAAAAAAGGAAGATGTAGGCTATCGCAACGAGATGGTGCCCTCCTCAAAGTTTTAGGAGGATGTTAATAATTTGATTAAAATGGGCCTGTACCACGGACCAATATAAATTGTCGTAAAATGTTGGATGATATTTGTTAGATGTTTTAGACATCTTTCCTTGTTGGGAAGATCGTGAGAGAATATTTAAAAAACTCTCTTGTTCCTTCACTTGCATATAGCGGATACCTCAGAATAAAAACAATTATTTGAAACTCACCCAATTAGCTGACGGCGAATCTCGGAAAATTATAATAATTTATGGGAATTCACCCAGCGAAATTGAATTGAATAAGTTCAAAAAATAATTTGTTTCTTGATTTGCTAGATTTTCTTATTGTAGTACGGTTCGATGATTAATATACAATCTTATATTTAATGATGGGCTTCAAAATTTGTATCAACATATTTGTATCGATATGAACGAGCTATCGTTTATTGTTTTGTAAATAATTTAGAAAAAGATACAGATTATTAATAATCTCATCAAATCGCAGATCAAATCTCTCAACTTCTCTAGAATAACAAGTATCATCATAAGTATGCTAATGAAGTCAGAATCATCATCCTCAACTCTCTACTTTTAATTAAATTTTCGTCGTCGCTTTCAAAACTGCCACATCTGTTATTATCAGTCTAAAAAGGGATGTCATAATAAAATTCGATATTATTAATTTGCTGCAACAACGTCATAACTCAGATATCACGGTTTTTCAGTAGAAACATTATGCCAATGAGTAGTTCCTCCGCAAGTTAATATCATGCTTAGTATTCTTACTGCATATTTCCATGTGTGATATGAATATGGTTGTTAATCTTAACAAATAAGTAAAAGGAAAACTTTAGTCGAACTGTAATAGAAAAAAAAAATATTACACGATTTTTTTTTCGCATTGAGGGCTAAGAAATGACTCCGACAAAGAAAAGTACACATAACGTAATTGACCCTATGGTATTAACTCAAACATATAATTTTCGAGTTATGACTTTGTTGATACAAATGAGCGATTTATATGTTGATGCAATTATAACGAAAACACTACAGATATAATTTAAGGTGTTTAAAATAAAGTAAATAACTGCCCTTGTCAGATAAAAATTAATATTTTATAATAGATTCATCCGTTTGGGAAGGTATTCACAACGGGCGTGAGACAGCTGTTCCACACGTGTCGATCAACAGAGCAGGTTTCAGTAAGGTTATAGATGCTGAGCCTGTTGATGTCGTTAACGGTACCACTCTTGGATGCAGGTCCTCAGCATCTCTTCAATAGTACCGCTCTCCACAATGGGGTCTCTTATACCGAATCCTTACACTATCCAACCTCAACTATTTCAAGATTCTGCTAATAGTTCATTAGGTGGAGTTTATATCGACATTTAATATATCATAAAACTTTTTTTTTTTTTCATTGTGTATATTTCAAGTAGAAAGACAATTTCAAATATAAATTAGTGATTAATTCCAGCTTTCGAAGTGTTTTGTTGAACTGATCTGTAGTGAATGAACGTGTTTGAAAAAACGCCATAATTTTTTTTTTTTATAATTTTGAAAATCTATGTACAAAAAAAGATAAAATGGACTGTTGCATTCCCAAGATATGTTATGTCCAAGAAAGATAGATGGATGGAAGTACATAGGTGCTTACGTACGAGCTGAACAATTTACCTTGTCTACGCTCTCAGTTGGAAATTGAAGCCATGGCGTCTGCTCGAACGGGCCGCTGGAGACTGACTGAGTCCCTTCCACCGGCACCACTTTCACCTTTCCTGACCCCCTTTACCGTGTTACATCACAAGATGGCCAAAGGCCGCCGCTTTGCACGGGGGTGGATCTCGAACAGGGTGGCGTAGGAAGTCGATCCGTCCATGCAGCTCTTGCGGAGCAGCGGAAGATGGATCGATGATGGTCCAGTACGATACCTTACTCTTCTGCGAAACCTCCTGGTTTCATGTTTCAAGATTACAAACTTCAGTTTGGAAAGAATAACAATAAGGATCGTATCATTTATTTATTTTTGTAGTCCTAATTGTCTGTGTTATTAATAGGGGAAACAATGAATGCAGAGGACTGCTGAAACACTAAATTGTAGGTAACGATGATGTCTTTCTGTAAGAAAAAATGTCATCAAATTTTATCTTTTTTTCTCTCAAATGGGCGAATTGTTAGTTTTTGTGATCTGGAATGCAAAATAATTATAATCTTATACTTTGGCCAATAAGAGTATTTCTGCTTTCACTTATTTTATGGAATTATGGCGGTACGGCTGGTATATAATGTATATAATTGAACCAATTCAGCTCCATGATGGAGTTGGGAAACGGCGATTGCTGTATGGAATGAATATGCTGACTCACTACCAGACCTGTGTATATATATCTCTCAGTTGTGCTTAACAACGTTTGAACTATTGTAAATTATGAAAGTGTATAAGATAAAAACAGTATGAATTTTCAAGTTATTATTATTATTATTTTCAGTTGGCATTACAGACCTCGTAGATTTTTTGCCGCTTTAACCAGCCTTTTCCGTTTTCGCCTGTTATGAGCTATTATTTTCTGGTTATCTGCATGCTGCTCTATTGCATCTTTGTTGATTTGATCTATCCATTTGCTTCCTGTGTTTAAGAAATTAATTGTCGTGTAGAGGCTCTCTGATGGATTGTTCCGAGTTACATGCCTCAGCCATCTTAACCTCCTCGCCTTCATATCACGAGATATTGATAGACTTGTTTCAGTACCCAGTTCTTTATTTTAATTATGCGTTAATACTCTTATCCCAGATTCCTCTGGTTATCGTGTTGAGAATATTTCTCTCAAATCTTTCTTTACTTGTTTCTAGTGTACAGGTTAATATCCAGGTTTCGTAGTCTTACATCCAAACTGACATTATCATAAAATCGGGAAAGGGATCGGGATAAAATAGTCGGAATGGTAAGATCATGAGCACTGGCGATGATGACAAAAAGTATGATGGTATGTATGATATGATATGATGGTAACAAGTATGGTGAGGTGAACACTGAAAGAAGAATTCAGATGTTTTGAATTCTATACAGAATTCACCCCAAAAGTTGTGCCAATTAAAAATACTAAAAGAACATATGTGACTGATTGGTCAAATACTGGAAGAACGAAGAGAAGATAATTGCCCATTTTTTTTTTTTTTTTTGAACATGAAGGTGAAACAAATTTTGTGTTTTGATAACGAAGCATTGTACATAGAAGGCATACCATTATCTTATTATGTAACAATACTAATTGCCATACATTTCTTTAAAAAGCTAACTCCATTTGTAATAAATTTGGTGATTTAATAACAGTTTTAATGTTTTGTTTTTTTTTTACTTTGTACAGATATTTCTTGAAATCAATATTTAATAATAAAAATAAAAACATCATTTTTTTTTTTTAGAAAAAATGAAAAATATTTCCTTCATAATCGTTCTTCTCTTGGCTCCGACATTTCCATTAAAAATCACTATTAATCCTAATAGTGTGAAGGGGCATTTAACGAAGTTTTGGAAAAGCACAGGCTTCAGGTAATTTATTATTATTATTAGTTTTTTTTTACCTTCATTTTCATACTTTATTAACTGCCAACACATTTTTGAATTAAATTGCGAAGTGGAATTCCAAAACAGCTCTTTTTATTCAACAATTTTAAAAAATACCGTTTACTACTTGAAAGCATTATACAAGAAAAAAAATTTAAATAATTAAAAACATAAGATTTCGAAAACAATTTTTTTTTTTTGGAATTCCACAACTCAGTTAACAGATTTATTTAATTATCGGTAATACAAAATATGCACACCTAGACATAAAGCAGTATTATCAAAAAAGACATTGAAAAAATCATTTTAATATTTGAAAAGTATAAATAAAGTATTGTGTATAAGTTAGTTAAGGACGCCTATTCAGACGTCGTTCGTTATTTTTTTTTTATTCTGCCTCATTATAAGAATGATTTAATAGGTACACCTGTTGTACACCTGGATTTATTTACGAAACCCAGATCTTTCATTTTACTTAATATTTCATTCGGTGGAAATCGGAACAGAAAGGTATATGTCGCAATAGACTTCGAATTAAATTATTCTACTTTTGAGAGGCGCCAGCGAAATAAATGACACAATTCAAATTCTGTCAACATTAAAAAGTATTCTTTTTCATCAGTTGGTTTAATATTTTGTTAATTACATAATGTTGTTCTGATGAAATCTTATTAGAATATTGCAAATTTCAAACATTAGTTCTGATAACAAAAGAAAACCTGAATTTTCGGGCAAAGACTTATGTTTAACAGGGTCTAGACTTATCTTTACAGACTTTAAGAGGGAAACGTTCCACTGACTTCCTATTTTATGTAATATGAAGCACACAGAAAAATTCCGCAGTGTATTTATGCCCTATACCAATACTTTTACATAATGTGCACTGGTGTCGTATTTCCTCTTTTGAAGTTTTATTTCCTGAAAAAAAAAATAATAGCCCAAAATAAAATAATTCCTGGTTGTGATATGGTTTACATATATTTTACGTGTCAGACTTACTTCCGTTGATTCCAGATCGTTTGATTTTTGAAGTAGTTATGTATTAAATGGTGAGTTTGTATTTTATAACATTATCATACTTTGAAATAATCGTGATATAAACTACAGATTGTAGGATATATCTGAAAATAAAATATGACCTGTGAAAAAACTCATTTTCCTGATACACGTAATTTACAAAATAATTGATTAAATTTTAAAATATTTTGAAATTAACTGTTAAAAACTGATTGAAAAATTAACTTCATCAGATGAAACATTAGCTTGGAAAGGAAGAGTTTTACACCAACAATTGTAATGATACTCGACTATTCCTTTTTATCTCTGGGAGATATCTTCCGTAATGGCGCAAGAAGTAATATGATATGGTTAGAGAAAATGAGACGATGTTAGGAAACTTTACAGTTTGTTCTGCATATTATTATGTATACAATATTTTGTGAATTCTAATTTTCTAACTTTTGAATTTGGCATTCGACTATCTTTCTATTTCTTTTTCTATAAATTTCAGAGTTTTTTTGTTCGAACAATTGTTTTACCGATATATATATATATATATATATATATTGTATAATATTGTTTATGTTGGTATAGTATAGTATTAATATTGTATATGATGAGGGATGTGGAAAAGGAGGAAAAGAATCTGTATATATGTAAATATGTGATTCGGGAATAGAACTGATGACCCTATCCTCGTGTACTTAATCAGGAATCGGGATGTGATCTAGAAGACCAAATCTCGCGGTCAAAGATCTACAAGGTCTGTAGCGCAAACAGAAAAAAAAAATATGTGTTTCAAGTATAATGCTATGTCCAAAAAAAAGGATTGGTGAGTATGCTGTGTATCGAGGAACCCTACATAGGGCAACACTGCTATAAACAAAGTATTTCTCTCTTTCACTCTCTCTATCTCTCTCTCTCTCTTCATATCGTTATAATATCGTTATTATTATTTAATATTTAATTGTATAGATTACAGCAATATAAATATTAAACTTTGTATATATAAGGGTAATTAAACAGATAAAAATACCCACAATGAAATTTAAATAAATTTAGCGCCTGTAATGTTTACTTTCACTCCCCCTTTGTCTGAAAATACTTATTTCTGGAAATAGGGTGGTAAGTGAAAGTTGTGTGATGGGTGATTTTTCTCTTTGGCAGATTGTTACTATTCAATAAAAAAAACACGATTTTCTATGCTTTTATTAATTTTTAGTTTATAACTAAATAAATTTTACATGAATGCAGCCAGTGAAATGCTGTATTAATGTATTTTTTGTGTTAATCTTAGGTAACTAAATGTTACAGAATGAAAATAAACTTTCATTCAATATTGCTCTATTCACTACCAATGCGGATTTAGACGGAATCGTTCGACTATTGATCAAATATTTTCTTTACGGCAAATATTAGAGAAAAAATGGAGTATAACGGTATTGTTCACCAGCTGTATATAGATTTTAAAAAGGCTTACGATTCTATTGACCGCCAGAAACTGTATAATATTCTAATCGAGCAGGGGATTCCAAAAAAACTAGTAAATCTAGTCAGGATGTGCTTGACGGAGACACTCAATAAAGTTAGAATCGGTAATAATTTGTCCGAAAAATTTGAGGTTCGTTCGGGCTTAAAACAGGGGAATTCTCTTTCGCCTGTCCTGTTCAATTTGGCATTAGAACATGCCATTAGGGAGGTAATGCGAACCGAGAAAGGGTTGGATCTGGGCGGGACAACATCCGTGCTGGGCTATGCTGATGTTCTGGTACTGTTAAGCGAAGACGTTGAAACTATAAAACTAAATACGACAACGTTAATGAAAGCCGGTAAAGAACTAGGACTCGAAATAAACGTGGATAAAACAAAATATATGGTTAGCTGCAAAAATGGCGATACTGCTGGTGATATCGATTTAGATGGTAATATGTTTCAACAGGTAGATAAATTTAGGTATCTAGGTTCTACGATAACTAGAAAAAACGAAATTGGAGAAGAGATTAAGGTTAGACTGAAGGCTGGAAATGCTTGTTATTTTTCTGTGACAAAACTACTTAGTTCGCGCCTCTTGTCCCGGAACTTAAAAATTAGAATCTATAAAACAATTATCTTGCCTACAGTTCTTTATGGATACGAAACTTGGCCGCTTACATTAAGGGATGAGCAGTGTCTTAAGGTTTTTGAAAATAAAGTATTGCGTAGAATATTCGGACCGAAGAAGGATGAGTTAACGGGAGAGTTCAGACGGTTACACAATGCCGAATTGCGTGAGCTGTATCCGGGTAATATAATTGAGGTAATTTCATAGCGGCGAATCAAATGGGCTTGTAAAGTTGTTGGGCTTAGTAACAAGAGAATTCCTAAAAGGTTAATACTTGCTGTGCCGAATGGTAAGCGTCCGAGGGGTAGACCTAAGCGAAGGTGGGAAGATTGCATTAAAGCCGATCTGAAGGGACTGGGTTTGAACGGGGAACGGTGGAGGAAGGTGTGTGACAAGCGATTGGTGGTGTCGGCATCGAACCTTCGGGTTCGCTAAGCCTTATTATTATTATTGCTCTATTCAAATTCATATCTCACTATTGCAGCCCCTCTAGTTTTGACCAGACATCTACACGAGAATTTTTGATGTCTAAGGATGTCGAACATAATTTGGCAATTATATCAGCGCTTCCCAATCAAGGTATCGAGTTTGTAAGGATTCATTGGTTGCTCAACCTCTTGTATTTGTAAGTATTATTTTATTTCATTATTTATATTCCTTAACTTAACATGCTGACTTAAAATCTTGGAATGTATCGAAGAGATGCAACCTCTGAAACGAACAAGATATTTTGTTCTATGTAGCCATTTTAGTAAAACTGATCAAGTCTCATGTAGATCTGTATGTTGTTTTTTATTATTTGATTCTGTTTATAGCAAATCAGATGGAACGATAAACTGGGAACTTTTAGATGAAGTAATTGATTTGATCGTTGGCAATGATATGAAACCTGTTATCGAATTGATGGTGAACCCTGAAACTGATCAGAAAAAAGAACTTTTCAAAAGCGGCGGTAGATATTTTTGGAAATGGATTACTTCTGCATTAGCCCAACGATACGTAGGTAATTGTAATAACTATAGTTTTAACTGTATTATAAAATCAAAGCTATACAATAGTTTAGGTATACTTAGTTAGCTTCAATACTGAAGCTATTCAAGTACTGAATACTTGAATACCTTTAGTGCTTGAACCACGCCCTGGTGATGACCCACATGTTTGGGTTGAAACGTCGGCACTAATAAAAACTTTATAATGAATGCGTCCAGAATATTTATCACCCATTTTATTTATATTCAGTTTACTTTATACGTATAATCATTGCTCTTTTTTTTATTAGACAATGCTGTAGGTAGGTATTTCCTTACATATTTTTTTATACCTTTTTATACCTTCAGATTACATTTCGCTGCAATCCATCTCGTGGTTGTACCTAAACTCAGCGCAAATAGATGTACATTGGTGCGGGATTCAATTGATTGATGAAATTCATTGATGGATCAGCGATGAGTTTAGGAACTTGCTCAATAAATTTCGTCTGTATCGATAAAGAGGACAAAAATCTAATATAGCTATCCTATACAATCCTGGCGAACTAAACAATTAATATACATAGATTTTTATAAAATATTCATTTCCTCATACATAAAAATCTACGAAATGACACCAGAGAATTATTAGGATCTATTTGGGGATTAGAGTGGACAATAGGTTTACCATCAGATAAAATACTCAGCAATGGGCTTTAAAAACCAAATTTTACCTATTTAATATTGGAGTATAAACATATACACCAATACAATACATAATACCTATGTCCCAGAGAATTTGCACCAAATATTATATAAATAAATAGCAAATAGACATACGACTTTCTTTTGCCTTTCCATGGACCGAGGTTATTTTGATACTCAGGGGTGACCGTACAAGAGTTTACTTTGTCATGTAATGTCTAAAGGAATGTTGTCTGAACACAAAAATGTTCTAGCACACCAGGTAATTTCATATTCAAATAAACTCAAGTCCATAGTAAATCCTTGCGACAAAGTCATCCCATTTTACGATTTTTTTTTTTTTTTTTGCTTATGTCAGCAAACCTCTAGTTTTAGTTTTACGATAAGAAATATGTACCTACTTATTTACAATAGAATGTAAATCTATGAAATTCAGAAATTTTATAATATATATCTTGAAGTTTAAACGTGTAAATATTTTGACATGTACTTTAGAAGATAAAATATTTTTTATTCAATACCTGAATTCTATTATTTTTTCCTAACTTTGCCTTAAGTTATGGGATGTGGTTACAGCGGGATATTTTGCTCAAGTAAATGTAAATCACTTCAATCATTAAATCTCTTTAGTACATCTTTTATTTTAAGATTAATTTAAAAGCCATCAGAATACCCATCCTCTTACCGTCCTATCTCTCTTTTACCCATCATGGGCAAAATCCTGGAGAAGCTCATCTTAAAACGCCTGTATCCCATCCTAGATTCTAACCACATAATCCCTGATCACCAATTTGGATTCCGCACATCCCATTCCACTATCCAGCAATGTCATCGTGTGGTAGTGGTTGTCTCCTCTGCATTGGAGCGCGGAATGTATTGCACGGGAGTTTTTCTCGATGTTGAACCGGCGTTTGATCGAGTCTGGCATAGGGGATTGCTTTACAAACTCCGTAAATTCCTTCCCCCTACATATTTTCTTATCATCAGTTCCTATCTTACTGATAGGCACTTCAAAGTAAATCACAATAATACCTATTCATCCATCTTTTCTCAATCTGCCGGAGTTCCTCAAGGTAGTATCCTTGGTCCTATCCTTTATACAGTTTATACAGCTGATATCCCAACCCATCCTAACACTGTCATCACTACCTATGCTGATGACACATTTGTCCTGTCAGTTAATAATGATCCAACAATTGCATCCCAAACTCTTCAATCACAAAACTTGAAGAATGGTGTCAAAACTGGAGGATTAAAATAAATTCCAATAAATCCCATCAAATCACCTTTACCTTTTGTCGTAAACCAATGACTTGCTGCCCTATAGTATCCTTTAATAACACCCCACTTATCCCTGTAGAAAAAATCCGATACCTTGGACTCCAGCTGGCAAACGTCTCACTTGGAATCCTCTTACAAGACTAAAACGACAAGAAACTGCTCGACGTTTCCGCTTACTCCAACACTTACTAGACAAACGCTCTAAACTTCCCATTAATTACAAACGACTCATATACATGACTATGATAAGACCTATTTGGACTTATGGAGTTGAACTGTGGGGCTCCACTAAACCATCAAATTCCTCTCGTATCCAATCTTTACAATCCAAGATCCTTCGTAAAATCCTCAATGCTCCTTACTTTGTCACAAATAAAATAATCCATAAAGACTTCAATGTTTCATATGTTTCCGATTTGGCCGAAGCCAGATACCTATCCTTCCATAATAAACTTCATAACCATCCGAATCCTTTTGTTTCTACCTTGCTTCCTCTTCGATTCCTGATAATCCTCCGAGGCTTCTGAAAAGAAGATGGCCTCGTGATCTCCTCATGTAGACAAATTATTAGAGTGCTACCAATGCGAAGTTTCTCAACAAGCGTGTTTCATGTTATTATATTCCTCTGTACACATTTTCTTGATGTATTCATACTAATACAGTTGTAAATATCATAATAAGTGTTTAAAAAAAAAAGGATTAATTTAGGAATCGTTCGATTGTGGAAAAAATACAACGAAGAGAGTAAAACAGTGGTCCTTTCTAAACTAATACTCATTTCTAAAATTAATTCTGAAACGTTTTAAAAGCTTTCTATCTTAAATCGTAATGCTCCCAACTCCAGGGGTGATGTAATGCCCAGTAAAACGATACTTGTACATTTTATTTATAGATAAGAGGGTGGAGGTCTTTTTATCTATCGGTATTGGTAATCAGGGGAGCCCAGAAGGGGGTTTCATAGCGCAAGTTGTGCCATCAAAATTTTGGGGAGGGGCATATTTTGAAGTTTGTTATGAATTTTCGGACAACAAGACAAGGAGAAAACATGGAAAACATCGTAGCAAGTGTAATTGTATATGATCTACGATTTTTCTAATTCTACCTTAGCTTGCTTTGTTTTTTGAAATGATGACTTATAAAATATCTTGGGAGCAGGGCGGGTGAGGGGGGGTTAGATTCTTACTCCATCGACCTTGGGGAGGATGGGCACCCCTTTTGGTAATAGAAAACAACCACTGTTATGTTTACTATTTTGCGAATTCAATGGTTGAGTAATTTCGAAGTGGAGCAACAACCTTTTAACCACAAACGTTATGTCTTCCTTCGCCTTCTATTGATTTCCCATATTAATTTTCAGTGATGTGTAGATCACATAAGATAATTAATTGTATTGTTATCAGTCCCAATTTATAATTTTTAAAATCCTCGGAACATCCCACAATTTTCAAGATTTCAATAAATTTCATTGTTAGCTCTAAGCATTACATTACACCATTTAGTCGTCCTATTGATTTATGAAGTAATGTTCTGAAGCTAAATATAAGTTATTAACATCTATAAAATCTCCGATCAGTATAAAATTATGCAAATAAATTGGGGATAATAAAAAAAATATAAATACTTATTTTCAATCAATAACAAATAGAGGTTTGAATATGACTTCTTAAATCATTAAAAAATAATTATATCAAATCACGTGTTGGATAAACACGTCACTCACGGCGTTGAAAACATCGGATCGCCCTTTTTTGTGGATTTAAATTTTTGGATATCTTGGCTTTTAGTACGAAAGGAAAAGAGAGCCTCTGATAGTTGATCCTACAATTCGCTTTGAAATCAATGATGAGGATCAAGATCTCAAAATACAAACAGAAAAAGAAGAGATCTTTAAAAAATACATATCGTAAGTGCAGAGGAAATATGGAGAAGAATTTGGGGAAAGAGAATTTCCAGTTCGGAAGTAGAGGAGCGATTCAACTTTCAACTGCTGAGTATTTGGAAGGGCTGGACGTGGAAAGGAGGCATCTGCAGAGTATGGCAGAATCTATTATTTTGGACTCTTTAGGAATCCTGCACTACATATATTAATTCTGGCCAGTTCGTCATGAGCTCTATGGACAGTTGTGAGAGGGAAGTAAAATGAGTAGAAGATACTTATCCAAGCGATGGTTCAACATGTTCAAATAAACTTCTGTTATTTAACTCCACTCTTAGACACGTGAAGAATTGTTGAAAAGTCCTTTATCGGTAATTTATAACTGGGCCAACAAATACTGGTCTAAAAAATGTGCGTTTTCTCAGTACAGTTCAGTTTTCAAAAGAAACTAATAAGTAATCAACATCAATATCTTATTCAGAATGTTGAATCATGTTTTGAACAATTAATATTTTTCTTCTGGATAAAGGGTGTCACTTGAGTAAGTAGGTGATCAAAAGATTGATCGGTTTTACGATGGTAGTTTCGGGGCCCGTAATGGTGGTTATGATGGTACCTTTTAAAACCAATCTTTATCAAATTATATTTCTTTCTTCTTTTCATCACACGATTCTCTTCTTTTTCCACCCCACTGAACATAATGATAAAATTGTCGCCAATTTATTCGAGATATCATAAAGAGCATAATTACTCCACTTCAGACCTACACGAGCTGTGATGTGAAGCCAAATCGGGAAAACAAGTATATGAAGGAAGGTGGATAGAACACTAAACGTCTTTAGGAATTGCTCACTTAAATGGTCATTTAATTAAGAAATTATAACTTTTTAAAGAAAACTATTTATTTCGACAGTCTCCTTCTCACCTCACCCTACTTATTTTTTAACTATTGTAGTTTATTTTTATTTTTTAATAAATGCTGACATGAGTTTTTCATTTTGAAATTTTCAGATAAATATGGAAGTAAAATGGTTTCCGAATGGAGGTTTGAGACGTGGAATGAACCAGATCTAAAGATGTATAATGTACTTAATTTTGGATTGGAAGGTAAAATGAATAATAAAACTAATAAGTACTTATATTGTAGGGAGTAACTTTTCTCATCATATGAAAAAAACTCGTAAACAGAATCATTCTTAATTGTCTTAACTTAAGCTTGCTTTGTAAGGAAAAATCTAGCATGGGAGTAGTGTTGCCCAAATTTGAAAGATCCAAGACGAGTCTTGCGCACTCAATCTTGATCTTGGTCTTGGTCTTAGGCAAAAGTCTCGCAACAGTTACCTATTAGCTTATTACTATAGAGATATTACTGTAATATTTCACTAAGAGTAAACCTAACTAAGACTTAATGAAAAATTGGAAGAGTTAAATCCAAAAGTATTTTGTTTATACCGATTCTTGACATATAATAACTAAAATTGTCAAGGTTTAGTAACTATTTTTCCTTAATTTTTATCCACAAAAACGATTTTTTTTTCTATCAGTTTTGGTCTTGGCCTCGCAACAGTTAAGCGGTCTTAGTCCGATTTTGGGCAACACTACATAGGAGCAAATGACGCCAAGGCAATTACCTTGGGGAGTCAAACGTTGAGAGGGTGACAGAAGATTGGAATTGAAAAATAATAAAAAATTAACTAATATTAAAATAATGATATTTAATTCAATAGTCGTACTTAAATCAATTGATACTTTAGTTTTGCTTAATTCAATTATAACAAAACAATTCAATTAGTACTCTGATTCTACTTAATGTATTTATTACTCTCGATTGTAATATATTAATATTAACAGATTTATTAATAACGTTGTTTTTATATAAATTTAATTTTTTATAATTCACCTTAAATTAATGTCTAGTTATACCAATTAAGTTATTAGTATTTTCGGTGTGAAGTATCTCGAATATGGCGGCAAAAAATTGGATGTCCTTTTGATGTTTGCCTCGGGGTATACTCCACCTTAATTACGCTATTAAAACATGGTTATGCACCCTGGTTAATTCCAAAACTCGTGCGATATAAAGCATGGTTCATACTCCGTTTTTTTCTTTTATAGATGTCTGGGTATTGGGCGTGTTTGGTTTGTTCCGTGTTTGGTTAATTGTCACTAGAGATGACGGTTATTGGAAAATAACCGGTTATATGTTACTCCAATTTTTTTCACCCCCGATTTAATCGGCCGGTGATAACCGCTCAAAATTATCGATTATATAAATAACCGGTTTTTAATTGGGTTTTTTTTTGGAGTTACTAATTTTCTTAAGAAAAGATATGTAACAACTGGCATACCATTTTTCTTGTTAAAACATTTGTGTATAATATGTGACATATTAAATTTTATTCAATTGTACAAAAACACAATATAAATTTTACATATTATTATTCAATTATCATACCAGACTGAAACGACAAGCGTTTCCGATTTCTACAGCACTTACTAGACAAAAGCTCTAAACTTCCAATTAATTACAAAAGACTCATGTACATGACTATAATAAGGCCTATTTGGACTTACGGAGTTGAGCTATGGGACTCCACTAAACCATCGAATTCCTCTCGTATCCAACCCTTACAATCCAAAATTCTTAATGCTCCCTACTTTGTTACAATTAAAACAATTCATAATGTTTCTTATGTTTCAGATCTGGCCCAATCCAGATAACTATCCTTCCATAATAAATTTCAGAATCATCCCAACCCTCGCGTTTCTAACCTTGCTTCCTCTTCAATTCCTGATAACCCTCCGAGGCGTCTGAAAAGAGGATGGCTCCGTGATCTCCTAATGTAGATATACCATTAGAGTGCTACCATTGGGTAGTTTCTCAACAAGTGTTTTCACGTCATTATATCCATATGTTCAAATTTACTAAATGTATTTCTTTAATACAGTTGAAAATATCATTAAGAAAAAGAATATATATATATTCAATTCAAACAATATGCTTCTTTTATCTTAATATATTAAAAATGATACTTATGATTAGTGAAATAAATACGTGAATTAGTAATTCCACGTACATATACAGTTATTGTTTAATTTTAAATAATAACTTAATAAAGCCAAAACACGATGCCCCCCAATATCGAGCAATTGGAGGGTTGGGATTGGTGATTTGGATAATAGAAAAAAAAACCATTCAATACTAACATAAATAATTATTTTTCAGAAGATTTTTATTGATATTATTATTAAGACATTAACTTTTTTTTCAAGACTGTTTTTTTTGTCTGATTATTGGATTATAATCGGTTATGACAGTAGCAATAACATTACCAGATAGAACGGTTAACCGAAATGAAAATAAATCGTTATTCCTATTCGTCACTATGGCAATCTAGTCGGGTATACAATGGCAATCAAGTTACATTGATCTTATTTTAATTAATGATATTTTAAAATCTTGATATAATTTTTTAAAAAATATTTATTTTTTTTTGTTATTATTTTTGGGAAGGCCTATGCGGACATGAACTATTGATTATATGTTTACATTGTATTTATATCGCATAATAAACACCAATTGTATTATTATTATTATTATTTTACTAGAATACATCGATTATGTCATGGGATGTGCTGAAGGAATCAAGTCTGTACTGCCTGAAGTCGATTTCGGTGGACCAGCTGGATTGTTTAAAAACATAAGCAATCATCCCTTGTGCTGGGGTTTTCTTAATTATTGCAACAATGATCTGAGAAGGTAGTTAATTCTTAAATAAAATTAGGAAATATTTAAAGATTATACACAAAATATTTAGTAAATAAGTATTTTTTTATTTTTCAAAAAATTTATATTAAAAATTAAATAACCTAATTTAAATTTGGAGGAACGATAGCTGAATATTGTTCTTATCTTATCAATTCATAAGTTCTTGTGATATTATTGCAATATATGTTTCACCAATGATGACTTCAATATTATTATTTTGTCCCAACGGATAAATAAGCTTTATGAAATCGTATTTGCCTAGAAATCAAGTCTACTATCACTAATACTAATCTACTAAAGTGACTAACCGATATGCAAATGAATTTCTTAGATGTATTAGTTAGAGTGGTTAGACCAATTGCCTGCAACCCCCACCCCCCTATTGCGTCGATTCCCACCAGGACAGTGGAGACACGTTTCCCCCCAATGTTTAAAACGTTCTTTTCATTCCTACCAATATTTAGGGTGGTCCATATATTAATAGTCCTGTACGAGCTTACAATTACAGAAGACTACACATACTCGTATTGAAAAATGCATAAGAATAACGAAGTTCACCGTTATTATTGTAGGCGCATAGTAGTCGTTTGTCTAAAATAAATACCTGTTTAGCCGCAAGTTTCAAAACAATCCAAAACATGGAGAGGATCAGCGCTTAAAGAGTAGTTATACCTGCCTCGTCTATGTTTTCCTGTGGGACACCAGATAAAGGAATGTTTCTTGATCTCTATGGTAAGGTCTGCAGTTTCAAAAAAAACCTGTGCCTGTACAACACATGAAGGGTCTTGGGTTCAGTACTATATTGGGAAGTGCTGTTTCTTGGTCAATGGTTGTTCAAGGAGGTGATTTGACCAAGCTCACACTCAACCACCAGGTTTCCATCTTAATTAATTAATTAAGATTAATTATTTAATTAATTAAGACTACCTACATTATAGATGTGCCCCCGGAGGGTGGGTCTCCCGACTCACCAACCAGGGTCGAATCACAGCCGATGGAACAGCATAAATTATTTATATGCCATCAGCCCTCATTCTTCTACCTCGTGAAGTCTCAGGAATTTATAATTTATAACCTTAGTATAATTTAATCAATGCAATTCCATTCAAACAACAACATTGGAACAACACTCAAAAAAATCAATAAATATGATCTAATTTAGTTGAAAATTGATTTGCAAGACCAAATTCATGTTATTTTCAGAGCTTCGTAAATAATTGAAGAATCTTTGGGGACTGTTCATGAAACGTTCAAGATCTGTGGAACGGTGGTGCAAAATAGAGGTTTCAGATTCTATTGGTGGAAGACATGCATGACGCGTGTGAAGAAAACACCACGGAATTCCCAAGACAGTTCCATGGCGAAACTTTCGCCGCCCTTGACACAGTCCTTGAATGGCTTAAGAAGCAATAAAAGGTGGAGTAAAATCAGCTTCTGTAGCTGAGGATTCGTGGATTTGGTGCTATCACAGAAAACATTCGAAAAAATAGTCAGAATTAATAATTTTAAAAAATCTAATTTTTTAATAATGGGTATGTAGATATATCCCTATATATCTAGTGCACATAACTGAATTGTTATTCTATACCTTCCTTCCAGACCCCTGCCATCCCCATGGGAGGGGGTGTGGGAGGGGTCCATTCCGACTGAAGCCCTCCCACCAATGAAAAAATATATATTTTTTCATTGGTCTATATTTGCTTCTGTGAGTGATCTAAGCAAATTACTTAAGCAATTACAATATGTACTCTTTATAAATTAAAACGTATATACAGTTATTAAATGTAAGCACATATCAAGAAAAAACAAAATATATCCCTAAAAGCATTAATATCCTATTATTCCTGTAATTTCCTTTAATTACCATTTTCCCTTTTTATTTATTGCTTTCTCACTACCGAAGGTAGGGAAGCATTGTGTTCGTGCGAGAGGATAAAAATAAATTGTGCTCAGAACCGAAAATTTCCAATCGCGTTTTATGTTTCGGACTTCAAGGATTAAATTTGGTTCGGTGTCTGTCAAATTGATGTGACGATATATCACATAGTACCGTTCATCTGATTTTCATGAAAGTTTCAGGGAGTATGTGAAGTGGTTTCTAGATGGTCTCATATCAATTTTATCAAATTCTACCTAGCACTTCCGCTTAAGCACGCCCAAACGTATGTTTATAGATATGCTAATATTTCAGAAAGGGCTCGTTCGATTTGGCTCAAAGTTAGATAAAAGGTAGGTAATGGTGAAAAAATAACGTAATGCCAATTTTATTGAATTTTATCCACTAATTTCTCATATATATGCGCAAACGTGTTTTCCTTGATATGTCTATGTTTCGAAAACAGCATGTTCAATTTGACACAAATTCGGAGGAAACTTAGGGATTGGTAAACAGATTATCAAGTATAATTTTATCAAATTCTATTCACTTCTCCTAGAAAAAATACTTTCGCTTTTGGATCAGCAAACGTATTATTTGGCAAACCTATAGTTTGAAAACTGCGCGTTAAATTTGACCCAAACTTGGAGGAAATTTGGAGAATAGTATAGAAATTTCCTAATACGAATTCCATTCAATAATTAAAATTAATATAAATAATTTTTAACAATATAATGGTAATGCAATGTGAAAGACACTGACTATATGGAGTGGGAGTTAGGTTATGATAATATTTTTATGAGGTTATAAAATTTTAGCTTTTATTCAAAGAATTAATTTATACTGTATTGTTTCGTCGACTCCAAGCGTTACTTGGATTTCGTGTAATTTTCAAAAAATTTAAATTAATTTTTACTCTGAGTTTGATAAAAAGAAAAATCTTATTTGTGATTGTGTTTATTTCTATTTGCTATGTTCCTGGCCTCGCGTTTCTACGGCGAGTAAGGGGTTCCAGGAATCGCATTTATTTGTATTAAAATGTATTTAATACTTATATTTGTATTTATATCGGTCCCAGAAGGGAACCGATCTACCGAAAAATATATTAATGATGTATTTAAAGGTAAGATACCACAGACCCCCTACTGTAGTATCCTTGATTGAACCATATACTATTTATTGGATTTCCTTTCTAAAGGTATCGTGTTTATAAATTTACTATTTGTTTCTATTACTAATTGGTGGCATGCAAGGTAGAATGTATAAGTACTAAGATGGTTTGCTAACTAATATATTTACAAATTTAAAAAATCAAAACATATATACAATGATAATGAACAAACCTATATACATAATGAATAGTTGAGAATCATACTAGAGGAGAATGCTTGATTAGAGTTACATGTGTTCTATTGATTTTATTAATTAATGCTGTATGGTTGCCAACACAAATTTACATTAGTATAACTAAATGCTTGTTACCACTTAGCTGGTCCTTCATAGTGTTTCTAGCCGTCATATCTGGATTCCCTGTCTCTGCTCTCCTTCAGCGTCTAGTCCGTCCATCTGCTCTCTCCGGCCGTCTTCGTCTTCCTCCCTCGACTCCCCCGCTTGAAGTCCCCTCAGCTGAGTCCCAAAAAGAAGTCCCCTCCTCTGAGTCCCAAAAGGAAATCCCTTAGTCGTATTTCCCACCTTTCTTCATCCCCCTCTCTTTTGGTAGTCTTTTTCCTGATTGGCTGAATATTCCTAGCCTAAGGGATGACCACGCCCTCTCCCCCAGGCCAAGGTAAAGCAGCAGGTACAGATTTACGTATTTCTGATGGAAGGTGTGAAAAGGTTTTTCGGGATCCTGTTTAAACACTCAGTTGTCGGTCTTGGTCGGTGGTTCTTAAAGGTTTTTATTACCACTTACAAAAGGTTGGGCTTGTGGGTCGTTACCCTCTCTCAGGTAGCGCCAGATGTGGCCACTTATGATATTTATTTATTTATACCTTTAAAATAATTAAATGAATACCACCGGCGGTCTTTACAATACATAGCATATTGAAGTCCAACCAGCTCGTCATGGTACAAAAGTTCAATTTTTCTTATTTCCCTTAAGCAGTTTTTGTAACATCGATTTCACGAGTGAAAACGTGCCGATTAAGTACATATTACGACGGTTAGTACCAAAGGTCGTAAGTATTTTGCTACGATGAAAAATAGCAGAGTGCAATAAATTATGATATTATGCTAATAAATGATAACGAACCAATTTGTTCTTATGTTTTCCTGTAAAACGTTCAATGTTTATATACGACTTTTTACTTTAAAAGTAGTTTATTCATGTTCAGTACGCACTCCATTTTTTTTAACCCAGAGTCATCAAATATGCGATCTGCATATGCGGAAATTTTTCGCATTTAAAATAAGTATTAGCTGATGAATAACACTCGTGGATATCAAATCTGTATATGTTGAGGGATTACTGAATTTCCGAAAAAGGCTTTCCCAGAGATTTTATTCTCATACGAAAACATTTAGACCTTGTAATATAGATATTTTTTAGCCAATGCAAACGGCGAGGAAGCTATACTGACCTTCCTTACACAGACAGAAGCTATACAGACGTTTTTATATGCCTTTAAGGTCTACTTTTATATCGCTATAACATAATTTTTTACAGTTTGTATTTCTTCCAGAGTAATAAAAATAAAAAAGAAAATATAGCAAATACTCAAAATGACTGATAATTAGAATATGATAAACTATAACTGCGTAAAACTAATGCTTTCAATACAAGTGACTTTGCAAATAGTGTGGAATTCCACCAAATTTTAAATATACTCCAAAAGATGGGTTTTCTTAACCAACCTATCCAAATACTAGTCGTAAAATATAAACTAGTCCAGTATTTTTTTTCATATAACTTTATTCCAGGTGTAAACTGAATTACATTTCTCTACATAAAAAGGGAAATAGCTCTACTTCTGAGATATTGAATGGAATGAACTCATTTCGTGTAGAAATGAACAGAAAATATCCTAACTTGGGGATTCTACCATTGATAAACGAGTAAGTAATTATGATTTTAATCATTTACTTTTATTTTTTTATAACTTTTAAATTCATATCAAATTCATTACAGTAGAGACATTCAACTATTTTTTAATATATTAATATTTTTCAGTATAATAACTAGCTTACGCTTTTTTAACTTTCAATTGCCTATATATGTAACATTTAGTAAGGGAAAGTATTGCGATCGTGAAAATGTTCTAATCTGAGTTTTCAACGGAAATACTTGTTTTGAGGTCCCCTGAGTCAAATTAACCAAGTCCCTTAAAATGGTCTGTGTGTATGCGTGTGTGTGTATGTAAGTGAACAATTCAGCTCAAAAAAGATAAGTCGTACACAACTTAAATGGCGTATTTAAGGTTCGTACATGCGTGGGATGTTACAGCAACTTTCACGTTAAAATCATCTAACCTATCACTTTATATTATCGACACATTTTTACAATTTTCTTGAAAACGGCCTTAACTATTTTGATTAAATTCATTACGACAGTGTAAAATAAAGCAGTTTTTGATATAATGCAGGTCACATTCTTATTTATCTTCTCTAACGGTGTTTTAATGCCTGATTTCAAAAATTTCTTCTTCTAAAGTACCTTTAATTTTTCTTATATAGAATAATTAAACATTTCACATTAGGAACTAATATAAAATATTGTTGAATATGAAATATGAAAGAATTCGGTGATTATCTAAAGGAGGTATATAACGATACAGAACCGACTAAACCCGAGCGTACAGCCGAGCTTGGCCGAATGTTAAAATAAGCTTCTATACGTAAGCATGTGCGGTTTCTATAAATTTATTATTATTTAATTTAAGATATTATTTAATATTTAATTTTTTAGATGACAGCAATATAAAAATTAAAATTTATATTTATTTCCAAATGCTAAAAAAATACGTGCAATGAAACATTGATAAATTTAGCGGCTTTCATTATCTGTTGCACTCATGTCGGACTAAAAATATTTTTTGCCACTTAATTATCTATTATAATCAAATAAATAATTAAAATATATAATCATTAGAGGCATTGATTAGCGAAAAAGAACAACCAGAAGTATAATATATTAGATGGCTGTGAAAAAAATATGGTAATTGATTATTTCAAAAATTATTTTGTTTGTACCGTTCGTGATTTTTACTTTCTCTGCCATTTGTGTGAAAATACCTAATTCGCCTAAATGAAGGTCGGTAAGTGAAAGTTGTGTGATGCACATACCGCACCAATTGAAATTTTCCAGCGTTTCCCACATCCTCTTTAAGGCACGGTATCATACGCGTTTCGTAAGTCTACAAATATTATACGCATTTCTTCATTATGTGACATTACCTTCACCAGGAATTACCTAATAACAAAGATGTGGTCACTACAGCACCGCCATGTTTTGAAACTTGCTTGTTCTTCGGAATTTATTTGCCCATATTGTTATTCCACGATAGTTCAACCAAAGCATTGAAGTATTCATAGTTTTCTGTCAAGCCTATTTTCTGCTGTTACTTCTCACCTGGAGTTCTGCGCATGCGCTTGATTTGAATACCCACATTTCACGTCGTGTCCCACAGTTTTACTATTTTTTAGTAGAATAAGTGCTCAGTTTTACTTTTTTAAAAAAAAACTAGTTAAGCAGACATCAAAACAACAACAATGGACTAACACCACAGTGAGTAGTGTTGTTATTTACTGTGTACTATTACAGACAGTGAATTTAGTGATTTAGCGTCTATAGGCTTAATCTCTATAGCCATAACAGCTGACGGCTCCCCACTCCAGTTGTGGCCTCGCCACGTAACTGGCTGGTTCACAGTCGGCGGTTCATCCATTGTAATAACACGCAGACGTAGTTTTATTTATTTATTATTTTTTTTCCCTTTCTTTTTTTTTATATGCGATATTACCACCAAGTAATGTCAACTAAGAGGTCCCATTCAGTTGGCTCTACCCCACGTAATTCACCGCCTAAACAGAAAACACGTCGTAGTAAGCGATTAACACCCCTCGGAACTCCTCCAGCGAACACTCAAGTATCTGTGTCTCAACCACTGCCAAGTACGTCTTCACAAGAAATGGAATCTCCATTTTTTACACCTAATCCATACCAGGTGCTTGAAAATGACAGGGAAGAAATGGAAGATGCACCTATACCTCGAGAACCACGCCCACCTCCTATCTTTGTCAAAAATTTGAGAAATTTCCAGTTGTTGTGTACTCAACTTAATAAAATCTGCCCAGGTAGCTATACATGCCTAAACAGAATAAATGATACAAAAATAATACCGGCCACACCTGAAGCGTACCGAAAAATCGTAAAATATTTAACAGACACAAATGCGGACTTTCACACATACCAGTTGAAACAGGAAAGAGCACTACGAGTTGTAATAAGAAATTTACACTCCTCAACCCCAATAGAAGTGATTAAAGAAGAGTTAACGGCGTTAGGGTTCAAAATACGTCAGATAACCAATGTTTTAAAAGAAAATAAAGAACAACCAGGTGTAAAGAATAAAATCCCATTGCCCTTATTTTTCGTCGATCTAGAGCCATCGCCTGGGATCGAAAAAATATACGATGTGAATAGAATTTTCTACACCAGCGTAAAGGTCGAAAAACCGTACCCAAAAAGAGAGTTCATCCAGTGCCATAATTGCCAAGCATATGGCCACACCAAGTCTTATTGCCACCACTTACCACGCTGCGTGAAATGTGGTAAAACACACAAGTCTGGCGAGTGTAATAAACCAATTACAGAACCAGCAGTCTGTGCCCTATGCCTGGAAGGCCATCCAGCCAACTACAAAGGCTGCCAAATTTATAAAAATCTTAAAGCGAGATATATGAAACCCAGGGACCCTGATGATACACCTAAACCAAGAAGAGGACCCGCTAAAATTGTGAACTCTAAGGTTTCTTTTGCCAAGCTACTTGGGGGTAGAGACCCGACTAATGAATGTGAGGCCCTGCCGCAAGAACAAACTCAACCCCAATCTCAATATCCTATCCCACCTAATGTACCTAATCAACAACACCCTCACCAACATCAAATCCAATATGTTCCTCCACCGCCTAATGCTACAGATCTAACCAGCTTATTGACATCCTTTCTTTCAGAATTTAAATCCCTTGTTACCCCACTGATATCACTTCTCACTAACCTAGTATCTCACCTTATCCCTCCTTTAAAAAATCCTTAAATGACTTCCATCAAACCCATATCCATTCTCCTTTGGAATGCGAATGGTGTTAGAAATCACATACACGAACTAACAGCCTTACTACAAGACAAGAACGTAGACGTAGCCCTAATAACGGAAACTCGACTGACTAAAAAACAGCTCCTAAAAATACCACAATACATAACTTACCGTACCGACCATCCTGACGGTAGAGCACATGCCGGTACTGCAGTCATTGTGCACCAATCCCTCTCCCATCACCTACTCCCACTGCCTACACACGATTTCCTACAATCCACCGCAGTCGTAATCAAAACCTTCTCCTTTCCTATTACCGTTGCATCAGCGTATTGCCCTCCAAACCAATCCATCTCCAATATCCAATTTAGTTCCTTCCTCATTTCCTTAGGACATCATTTCATCTTGGGTGCAGACTTAAACGCCAAGCATCAACAATGGGGTTCAAGAACCACGAATTCTCGTGGTCGAACATTGCTGTCTGTACTCAATTCCCAAAATTTTACCCTTCTTCCACCCAACTCACCTACCTACTGGCCCACTGATCCTAACCGTAATCCCGATATCCTCGATTTCTTTATCCATAATGGTTTAGGTGCTCTCAACCATTCCGTTGCCCGTCTTGACGAGCTTTCCTCAGACCACAGCCCATTAATACTCCAAGTATCACTAGCTCCTATTCCTAAACCCTCTCCTCCGTCCTTCATCAGAGGCCCAGTTAACTGGAAACTCTTTCATCAAATCCTCTCCGATAAAATTGACCTCAGAGTAACCCTGAAAACCTCTGAAGACCTGGACAATGCAGTACATTCCTTCACTACCAAAATTCAAGAAGCAGTCTGGACTGCTTCCTCCCCTGATCACTCCTCAAAAATCCTTAAGAAACATAATTTACCTCAACACCTCCTTGACCTAATCCACATAAAACGCCGTGCCAGATTATTATGGCAACGTACCAGACATCCAGCCGACCGCCACTCCTACAATTATCACTGTAAAAAATTAAAACAAGAATTAGCCACCTTCAGATCCCAATCATTCAATTCCTACCTCACCACACTCTCTGCTCATGATAATTCCCTTTGGAATATCACCAGAAAAATCCTCAAATCCCATCATATTTCCCACCCTCTTCGACGAGATGATGGCTCCTGGGCAGCATCTGATGAAGATAAAGCCGAGGAATTTGCCAAACACCTTTCCTATACTTTCGCTCCTCATCCAGAATCCCATCCCAGCCACACAGTAAAAGTAGAAGAATCCCTCTCAATACCTATCCCACTCTCCTTACCACCTAAAGCTGTTAATCCCTCTGAGGTCAAATACCTTTTACGGAAAATCACACCTCGCAAATCTCCTGGATATGACCTTCTAACCCCACAGATCCTACGACAACTTCCATCTAAAGCCATCATATTTCTTACATATATATACAATTGCATCCTACGAACTACCCACTTCCCTCTTTTATGGAAACATTCCACCATCGTCCTCTTCTTGAAACCAGGCAAACCTTCCAACAATACAGCATCCTATAGACCAATTAGCCTACTCCCAATCCTCTCAAAAATTTTTGAAAAGATCCTACTGAAACGAATCCTACCTATAATTGAATCCTATAACCTTCCTACTCATCAATTCGGATTTCGTTCCCAACATTCCACTGTCCAGCAAGGACTCCGAGTTGTTGACCATATATCCTCAACCCTAGAAAGCAAGCAGTATTGCTCGGGTGCATTTCTGGACATAGCGCAAGCTTTTGACCGGGTATGGCACGCCGGATTACTCTTCAAGCTTAAAATCCATCTACCACAGTCCTTATACCTAGTACTCCGATCCTATCTTTCCGACCGCTCCTTCCGAGTTCGCTGTGGCACCGAATTCTCCGACTGTTACTCAATTGAGGCTGGCGTTCCTCAAGGCAGCGTCTTGGGCCCCATCCTTTACATTCTCTTTACCGCTGATATTCCTGTCCATCCCGATACCCTCCTGGCAACTTTCGCTGATGACACTGCTATCCTTTCTTCCAACTCAGATCCTGAAACAGCGTCCGCAAACTTACAAAGGCACCTCTTCCTGATTGAACACTGGTGTAAGAAATGGCGCATTAAGGTAAACGAATCTAAATGTAAACACATTACCTTCACCCTTCGGCGTAATACCTGCCCACCAGTTTATTTTAACTCCATCCAGCTTCCTTTCTCAGATACAGTCCGGTATCTTGGCTTTCTCTTAGACAGACGACTAACATGGAATCCACATACTCGACTTAAAAGACAGGAACTTAACAGACGATATGGCCAGCTATATAGACTACTGAATAGAAAATCTAAACTTTCTGGTGAAAACAAATTACTGATCTACAAGACAATACTGAAACCCATCTGGACTTACGGACTAGAACTATGGGGAACAGCCAAATTTTCTAACATCAAACGCATTCAATCCTTTCAGTCTAAAGTCCTCCGTACAATAGTCAATGCTCCCTTCTATGTAACCAATAAAACCCTACACCATGACCTTAATATCCCATTTATTCTTGATCTTATCCCAGCCAAATTTTCCAAATTTCACCAGAACCTTTCTCATCACCCAAATCCCGTTGTACAATCCCTATCAAGCACCACCCATCCCTACAATCCCCTTCGTAGGTTAAAGCGGCAGTGGCCACGAGACCTTTTGTAAATATGGATATTTTGGAGTTCTAGCAATGGCCAGATTCTCCACTCAAGTCATGAGTGTCTGTGGCTGTAGCGCTCTTACTCATCCTCCGCTGGTTTAAAATACCAGTGAAGTGGCTGAGGGAGAAGCGTAGGGATCTCCTAAGCCTCCCTTTTCCCTCCACATGTGGAGGGGACAGGATTGGTTCGGAGATCACCTGGCAAATTGTAAATAATGTATGTTTTATATAAGGTGTTTGTTTTACTTTTATTTCTATTTTTATTTACTTATGTGTATATATATATTTTTTTTTCTTTACTCTTTTGTTCTTTCTTCTTATTCTTTTGTTATTACTTTATTTATTTATATTTTTGTATATACGGTATGAATGCAATCTCTGAACTCTATTATAAGTGTCCTTAAACTGTGACAAATTGTAATATTTCTGAATAAAGTGTTTTATTAATTAAATTTCTCACCTGTAAGAATGTCTCATAATGACGTCATATTACTTCAGAGAAGGTAAAGAGAATTTCCTCCGTAGAAATTTTATGAAACAACATAAGTGGTTCAGCTCCTGTATTTTCCATAACTGTATCTGTGATGCTCATGGAAAAAAACATATTATTTCTATGAATAATCTTGAGAAAGATTATTCATAACAAAAAATAGTGCTCATAACTAAAAAAACAAACAAACAATAACTAAGACTAGCTCAACAATTTATGTAGAACGCAGAAAATAGAAACAAACGCATTTTTATTGATTTCGCATGAAACTAAAAAACTAAATTAAATTATTACTTGGAACGGCTAAAGTCTAGTAACAAGAAGTTCTAAATTTTTCACTTTATAGTTCTTGATATTTTTTATTATTTTTATGGTAAGCGAAACGGATCTTCTCTCAGGCTGGTGGCGTGACGAAGATTGGAGAGGAGACATCCGCTACGCAGCAGCTGTCTGCAGGACAATATTCCTCTACAGATCTCTATTACACTCATTGAACGTTAAGAGTATAAGCAACGACAATGGCTTTCTCAATACCCCACCAAATTTTTTCAATCAGAGGACACTTTTGACGAGGTATATTTTCTTTTGCACTCATATTTTAAACATAAATTTCTTCTAGTTAAGTCATTGAAAACATATCAATAGGAACTTATTTGGTGACCATACTTTTTTCAAGTCTCTTGCAGAGCATTTAATACGGATAATGCGCTCTCAGCAATGACTTAAGTCTGCCAAATCACGTTTAATCCGTCTAGTTGAATGAATTTCAGTGTGAATCCACCCTTAAACTTGAATAACCGTTGAATGTTTAAAACGAAAAGTTCGCACGAATTGCCTTCGATCTCGGATGATGACTCTTCTTTAACTATTACTAGATCTATAAGGCAGTTAGCCATGTTTTTTTTTTGTTTTGTTTTTTGGTTACAGACCTTGTTTGTTGAGTCTATCTAACTGGTCTTTGCCCTTCCACGTGGTCTCTTGCCTTGCCTACTATTGAGGCTTCCTGATGGATTACTCCGAGCTGAATGCCCGCCCATCTTAACCTCCTTACCTTCATGTCATGAGATATTGATTTAACAGTTTCTATATGCAGTTCTTCATCGGTACTTCTCCTCTATGGATTGATATGTCGAAAATATAAAACAATCTTACGGGAAAGGTTAAACGATAACTGAATAGTTGAATTAATACTCAGAAGTAAGTAATCAACAAGTCATCAATCGATTGAGATTTTTTATTTTAAAAAATGGAATGAGTGAGGCGGTATGCTGTCAAAAATCAAGCAGAAGAACATTAATTGACGGTGATCATGACTGAGTACAAATTAATTCAATAAAAAATATTTATTAATTTAATTCTTTCTTTGCTTAATTTTCAATTAATTACAGGTCTATTCCAACACGAGTTTTAACTATCAGCAAACTGACGCACATCTTGACAGTCAAAACTCCTATTGGACCAGACTTTTTCTTAACTGATGTATTAAGTTATTATACTGGTTCTGAGAACAATAATATTTTATTATTTGTTTAAACAGGTAAGTGGGTCAGTTTACCATGACTATTATCATTGTTTTATTCCTAAGGTTCAGTGATACAGAAGGTAATGCCCATTTTGTCCAGAAGCCGGTTTACGCCGCCATGGGTTTGTTATCGATGTTAGGAGAGGAAGAAGTTCAAACCATCTACAAAGAAGACGACAGGTAAACCACTTTAAACAATAATAACTGTTTAAGTAAGATCCGCAATTTTAAAACATTTCCTTGTAATACCGAAATTCTGAAAACATCAAAGAAAAAAAAACACCTGATTAAACTTGTATTATGTAAAATTGCAGCTTTAGGATTAACATTAATAAAACAACGATGGTATAAAATTTATTAATTATATCTTCAATCTCTATTACAAGCAACATCTTCTGAGGAGGTTTGTTTATCGTTTTATGATTGAATAAAATATTTTTCCGAAACCTTTTGCAAGTAAAATTCGATAATATAGAAAGATAAAAGTACAATAAAATTGTACCACTGTTCAACTGTGTTGAATTGCTAGATCACTAGCATATCTTTACTATTTAATAATAGATAACACATAGTTCCTCACTGTTACAACTTTTTTCTCATTTTCTTCCCTCTCACTTTTATCCGCCGAGTCCACAACAAAGCACTCAGAATTGATACAGATGGTGGTGTAGGATCCCTAATGATATAAAAATAATGGATTCTGCCATACTCTGCAGATGGTTCCTTTCCACCCCCAATTTTTTAAAAAAAATCAGCAGTTGAAGGTTGAATCGCTCCTCTCCTCCCGACCATAGTCCCCAAACGGAATATTCTCTCTCACCAAATCCCTCTCTATATTTCTCTAGGAGGTGCGCTATGCATTTTTTATAGATTTCCTCTTTTTCTGTTGGTAGTTTGAGATCCTGATACTCATTGTTTGTTTCAAATCTAAGTATCAACTTTCAGAGCCTCTTTTCATTCCGCATTAAAGCTTAAGATATCTACGAATCTCGCTGAGCCTTCTATATCAAGATAATACACTATCGATCCAGGAAGCCCCTATACTTTTTCGTCTCCATGAATTCGGCAATTCGATGCTTTACAGTATTGTCCCGGTGGATGACAAGGAGCATGTTATGGACATTTGCGCAGTGCATTAGCAGGGATTTCCGATTCTCGTCCAAATTTGCGGCAGAGTGGTCAAACATCTCCATTTGCCTAGCTTCCGCCCCCCCCCCAGAACTCCCCGAGAAGCAAAGTTGACATTTAATTTCAACGCATTTTTCCATTCCGAGCCCGTTACAATCTTCCGGTCATACATAAACTTGTTAGCTCATTGGTTTGACTTACCTATTCCCTGTCATTTTATTTTGCACAAATCCTCAAATGACTTTTCTCTTAGGGACTGCCTACCTTTCTTGACCGATTGTGACGCCTCTTATAGCATTTGCTTCGAAGACTAACAGATCAGCACACGTTATACTGTGAATATCAGTATAATGAGAGGTAAGTCTTTGATAAATTGCTGTCTGGTTGTAATCTGCTCACAAATTCAGACAGTTATTGTGGTAGCCACTCTTAAGTTGAAAGTTCTACTCGCCAATGTTCATTATATTACCAAGTATGGCATTCTACCAACCTTAGTCGATCCTCTTAAGCAGTTTGTGGTATCACAATTATTCTTAGCTCTCTGATGCTAATGATCCAAATCCAATCCAATATTTGTGGCGGAGTGGACCCTAGTGTTCCAGTAATAAATATAGGTACTTCTTCCCAATTCTGTAAGCAGATCACTGGGAAAGGAACTCTATCGCTAAACTAATCAAGCAATCTAGAGACGACTAGCATGGAGTGCAAGCAACCGAAATTAATTTATGAAAATTCGTATTTGTTCACTATCATATTTGATAATGCTTCTATTAATTGTTTTAGGTTTTCAATTATTGCAACTCGGAACAACCACTATAATAATGACAATAAAATGACATATGTGTGCGTAATGATTGTTCATTCCAGTGATACGATGGAAATTAATGACACCAAACATGAATTGGAATTAATAACAAATTTACCAACTTGGGAAAATGGTAAAAATAAAAACTAATGTATTTTTCTGATACTGGCAGAATTTCTTTAATTTGAGTTTTTTATCAGCTCGTTATGTTTTGTACAAACTTGAAAATATTCAGCCAAATCCAAAAGATATATGGAAGAAACTGGGTAGCCCTATGATTCCAACCTTAAACCAACTTTCAGTAATGCGCCGATATCAGGTAAAACACTTAATGTAGTTGACCTTTCCATCATTTTTGTATGAAACAGATAAAAAAGAAAGTTCTTACATAATCAATTAGTGTAGAAAAGTACTAGTAGTTTTAACCTAAAATTATGGAGTGTATACGAAATATTTCAAATATCAATATAGTCAATGTATACGAAATTGATTTTTTTTTTTTTTTCATTTTAGGAAGGTATACTTTTCTAATATTATGTTTGTTTCAGGAACCTAAAAGGATAGCTATTGGAAAGGTGAAAAAAATCCCTTTCAGTATAAAATATAGCGTAGTTCAACCCAGCATTAGCTTTTTACAAATCTGTGACAGTAGCGTGGGGAAACCAGGAAAGGTGAATAAAAGTATTTAAACAGTACTAGTTTATATCAAATTAGTTTAATGGCAGTAGTATATAGGAGTGTACCTAACGGTTAGAGCGCTGGCTTCCATTGCAAAATGAACGCAATACAAATTAATGCTAGAAAGTCGATAGGTTCTTCTTGGTCCACTACTTTGTAGGTTAACTTAGGCTCACTAGACAGTATGGTGGATCGAAAAAAAAAAAATATATATATATATTTTTTTTTTCCAAATACTGCGGAAAAGATGCGAATTCAGTTCCCATATGTGCTATAAAGTTTCCGTAAATGTCCAGATATTCACATTTCACGATAATTTGTTATAGTTTTTAACTGCCCACCACCTGAATGTAATAACTCTAGTTATTATGTATCAGAACCACAGGAAATCCTCTTCAAATATTATTTGAATTCGTCAACTTTTCTTTAGGTTGCTAATTAACCTTCAAAGTTTATGATAAAAATCAGTTTAGAAAATGGTAGATTTAGAAAGTACACAGCTAAAGGATAGAACTATTAATTTATTCCAAATATACAAGCTAAAATATTTCAAAATATATTTTTTTTCGAAATTCATTAGAAGTGTTGCTGACCACAATTAAGGGGCTTTTTTTGAATAACTTGTCCTTCAATTTACCTACTTTTTCTTTATCCCAAATTGATTTAAATATCATGAACTTGCTTTTCGCAAGCCCACAACGTGCTGCTTTACACAAGCAAGATGGACAAAAATTCGTGAATACTTTCTATTTCGTACCGAAGATTTTATTAGATAAAATATGATTGTTCTATCTGCTTTTAACATATTAAAAAAAGTGTAATTAAACAATAAAACAACAAAATATAAACTATAACGACTAATAACAATCAAATCGTAGAATAATTTTGTTTTTGTGCTTGGCCAAATACTGCACAGTCCAAAGTTTTACTATCATAACTAGCAGGTATATAACAACCAAACATACTTGATTGCCAATTAAACTTGCATACTTTAAAATATATAAATGGCAAAACATAAAAATACACATATACCTAATACCAGTTCCTAATACTCCGTTTCTGTGTGGTAGACGCTGCACAGCGTTACCGATCACCGATCTAGGAGGACAAAAACAACTTCTAAAATATGAGAAATGTAATATATCATCTTGGTGATCTGACAGTTGGTGACCTAAAAAGTGGCCTAATAAAATTTCAAAGTTCATTAAACTTTCACAGTAGAGTACGGAAGAGGAAGGTTTGGGCGAGCATGCCTTCAGTCCCACTAGTTGACAAATAGTTCCTGCATTACTTTATTTATTGTTTAAATCAATGCCTTTGTCTGTTATTGCTTAAGAATGCTTTTGATAATCCAGTTAATTATCTTTCTTTATCACTGAATTAATTTAGGTTCAACCAGTTAGATGTTGTTTACAATTGCATTTAAAAAATGGCTTTGATCAATTCTTTGAAATACATAAATAAGCCTTATATAGTCTATGAAATACCCTACCCGGTATCCCGCCGCGACAATTTTTTCATTTTGTAGCATTTTTTATATTCTTTCAAAAAATAACCATCGCATTTTGCGCAGCTTTGCACTAAGCACAGTTTTTAAAAATGATTTCAGAAAACGTAAATTAAAGCTTCGGAATCAATTTTTTTAATCTTATGAAAACGATATGGTTTATATAATTTAATTTACATAGATTTAAAAGACAATATAGTCCTAGTTACATAAAAATAAATGAGTCATATTGAATATTTAATAGTTAAGTAATATTTAAATATATCATCGAGATTATAAAAAAAAAATATATTTCTGATTTTGTAAATAGGTATGCCTGCGTCTAAGATATTTATTTTTTAAAGAACATTTTAATTATATTTTATTTATTTATTTTAATTTTATTATTACTATTATTATTCTCATTCTGATATTGTATTTTGTTCTTATTTTTTTAAATTACCTTATTTATTTTTTTATACTGTAAATATGGTGTGAATGTGCTCTCTGAACTCTATTATAAGTGTCCTTAATTGAGACAGATTGTAATATTTATCAATAAACAAGTAATATAAAACAAAAAAAAAATCTGATTTAAATAAGTATTATTCAAGAATTATTATAAAGGAAGTGGTCCGGGGTGGCAGTCATACATAGGATAAATAAAAACAAAACTAATTTATTAAAAGCCAACGTTTTGACCCGACTTTGCAGGTCTTCTTCAGGATTCAGCAAGGAGTTTCACTTAGAACTCAAGTGAGGGGTCGAAACGTTGGCTTTTAATAAAATAGTTTTTCCACTATTTAGCCTATTTATGATTGGCAACCCGGACAATCTCCTTCCTTTAAAAATAAATGAGCTTTGAAAAACGCTCAAAAAATGATTTATTATTTTTTTTAGAATAAATGTGTTGTGGCTAAAGCATATTTTCTACACCTCATAACGACTGATAACAACTCTCGAGGTTTTAAGGGAACAGGGAGACCTAATAATGTGTTTTTTTGTATAGAAAAACTAATGAGCGGAAAGTGAAGGATATAATATATTAAGGGTGTCCAGAGGCACTACCGGATCCAGGATTTAATTTTGTGGGGAGGGGCTTCAGACCGAAAGCTTTATTTTCAAATATAAAACGATAATTAATTTGAAAAAAAAGAAGAAAGAAACTAACTACCCATATGAAATGGTGTTTAAGTAATTCTTGAAGTCCTATTAAATGTAATTACACGAACAATACTACTTTAAGAGATAGTTTTTAATATTTTTTTCTATAAAACATGGTTATATTTTACCATTTTTTTTTTTTTTGGGGAGGGGATTTCAGCCCGAAAGCTCCCCCCTCCCCTGTAGATCCTCCTGTGTCCAGAGGGGTCTGTTTACAAAATTTTAAGGAAGCACATTTTTTCGGAGTTATGGATATTAGAAGAAAGCAAATATTTTCAGACTGTGTAGGCAAGGAAAGAAAAAAAACGAAGGAAATAAAAGGAAAATTTAAATTACAGCTAGGAAGTGATTAAGAGGTGCTAGAGCCAGAGAGTGAACTGTCCAATAATGTTGATTATAAGTATAAGCATGAGGAAATAGATTAAATAAATTTGAATACTTCCATACTGATTTTCCTTTTATTAATATGATTGTTAGTTTTTTTATTAATTCTTGGGAATTATGATTTTAAATTAAATTTTTACGGGATTGAGCTTTGGGGCTCCACTAAACCATCGAATTCCTCTCGTATCCAATCCTTACAATCCAAAATCCTTCGTAAAATCCTCAACGCTCCTTACTTTGTCACAAATAAAATCATCCATAAAGACCTTAATGTTCCATATGTTTCCGATTTGGCCCAATCCAGATACCTATCCTTCCATAATAAACTGCAGAACCATCCGAATCCTCTCGTTTCAAACCTTGCTTCCTCCTCGATCCCTGATAACCCTCCGAGGCGTCTGAAAAGAAGATGGCCTCGGAATCTTCTAATATAGAACTTTAATTTGAGTTCTACCAATGGGTAGTTTCTCTTCATGTTGTACATGTCATGTTACCATTGTCACATTTACTTGATGTATTTTCTATGTAATACAGTTGTAAATTTCAGTAAAATAAAAAATTTAAATTAAAATTTTCTTAAATACTAAATTAAAGCCACAAATTTAAGTTATGTTGACTTAATTCCGACTATAAAAGTTTTATTTATATTTATTTGTTACTTGGTGATTTCCAATCGAAAATTATGCTCAATGAATTTTCTGCCCCACTATGCGCTGGTGCGTTTCAAAGTGTACGTTAGGATTAGAAACTAAAAATATTTTCAGTTTTATCACTTATTGATTTATAACAGAAAACGATGCTTTCTAGATTTTTTTTGTTTTCAACTTTTCATTTGAATTCCTCAGATTTCATATAGACTTAAACTTTCAATATTGTTTTTAATTATCTTTATTGTAGATAAAAAACCTGAAAGCATATAATATAAGCGGTACAGAATTACTTTTAACATGGAAACAACCAGTCGATCGTTTTAGGTGAGTTTAAAAAAGAGGCATTCATACATAAATTCAACTATTTTTATTTTAGTTAGTTAGGGGGTTGTTACTTTTAATATTTACTCAAGCATGTAAATATTTTCTTCATTTTCATATATTTTTTCACAGTTGTATTAAAACTTACTGTATTGAATACTGTTCTGATCGAACAGGAGATGGTAAATTTCTGAGGATAAATAAGAATGCTATCATTTTTAATTCTTTTCATGTCAATAGGCCAATGATAAACAATGGAACAGGTGAGAAAACAATTTATTTTATTAATTAGAATAATTATTTTCTTCATTATAAATTAGATCATACATTTCATAAAGTAAATAAAATAGGCATTTTATCAAGTGCTACCTTTGAAACCATTAAATATCTTTAAAAAGTATAGATTTTAGAAAAATCAATTCTTACAGTTTTAGGTTTCTATCGAGTAGCTGCAGTTGATTTTTGGAACAGAAAAGGACATTATTCAAACGTTATACATTTTACAACAAAACTGTTTTAATTATTATTTTCTTCCAAAGGGGATTATTATTGAAATCAAGAAATATGACGTTCCTTATGAGTATTAATTTATTCATAAATAGCATTCTTATTATTAATTTTAACTATTTAAGAAAAGTTTATTTCTTTCAAAATGAATCCAGAATTTGTATATTTAACTTTTCACTATTCTAGAGTCAGTGCATGTTATCTGGCAGCACTGCTGAGCTGTTGTAAACAAAGCAGGTTGGTTCGTTCCTGATAGTGTGATGTTTCTGTAGAGAAATAAACGTGTTTTGTGGTGTAAACGTTTTTGACAAAGCCTCATTTGTTTGCGTGATTTCCTGAGATCACAACTATTATCTCAAATTCCTTCATGAGGCAATTAATTGTATTAATTTTTAATATAAATTAAAAAAAATGTGATTAAAATGTTTTGTTATTGAATTCAGACCACATTTAAAAATTGTTCAATGTATAACAATCCATGGAACAAATAATATTCCAACTAAGCATGCCATACATACTGCAATATGGGCATATACCAACATAGAAACTGACACACATTTAGTGTAAATGCACATGTAGCTGACATGCTTAAACACATTTCATAGAACTTTTACGTGTAAAAGCTTAAATATTAATGTTATTATGTTTTTCATGGATTCGTCTCATAGAACTATTTCTCGCCTTACCTAGACATATTCATCTAAATTAAAAAAAAAAATGAAAATTAAGAGAATAATTTTATTGTATCACTAGCTGATCCTATTTGGTTTTAAATGTTCCTATAGCTGACAGAGATAAGAAAAAAATTAATTAAGGGAAATTACAAATTCTTCATTTTAGGATTAACAAAAAATACCTTTAACTTCTTGCGTTTCCCAACTTACATTCATCAATAAATGCTGGTTGCTGTCAAGAATGTGTTTTTGGCTATAGGAAAACCTATTTTTGTTTCATGTTTAATCCAAATCATTAGCAATTTTTTTAACGAGTCAGTCGTAAATGGTTCCATTTTTAAAATCCGTTATATTGATTATATCTTTTTGAATTTATGAAAGTACAGGCATCTCAACTACTGGCAAAAGTCCCCATTATAGGGCTCCAGTAGCTAACATCTAGAAGATAGAGTCTCAGATTATAAAGTTAGTCCTATTTTGAAAAGCAAGGAAAGAAGGTCATTAGATAGTTTTATTGCCAGATAGGCCTAATTAATATTTTCGATTAAAATTTGTTGCTAGTGAGAGAAAAATTTGTATAGGAAGATATCTTATTATTCACTGGCTCAGATAACAATTGGTGTAATCCTTTGTCCCATTAAAACTTTTATTTAATAAAAACAAGAAACATATTTTTAAATCATCGAAATCTACCCATTCAACTAATAATAGATATTAACCATATATTCTGAGAAATGTATTGAGTTATTTTCATATTACAGTTAATGAAGTGTGACACTTCAATAAATGTATTTATACTTATACATATAAATCTGTCTATAAATAGGTTAGAACATACTCAAACTAGCTATTAGACTTGTGTCTAACATCCGTCTGAAACATCGTAAATAGCTTTATCTCAGCGTAACCTACAAATATTGTATTTCAATCTGGAGGTCGGCAAACTTTGTCTATTTAATTAGGTACTAAAAATTCGTAAATACCCATTTGCTTTCCACTTGAATCTTAAGATAACTTGAGCAAATAGTCGAGAAAAAAGGTGGCCTTAAAAAATATTGAGCCGTTTGGCGTGCCCTACGCCCCCAAATTGTCAAACTAATATAGGTTCTATAGGCTAAACGGCCCAATATTTTTGTAGGACATCTTTTTTATCGATTTAGTGATCAAATTATCTAACGCTCCAAGTGGAAAGCAAATGAATATTTACGAGTTTTTAGTATCTAATTAAAGAGACAAAGTTTGCCAACCTCCTAATTGAAAACGCCCCAATTCCGAGAATTTTCGTTAATAAAATGTTTGTAGGTTGCGATGAAATGAAGCTATTTACGAAGTTTCTGGCGGATGTTAATAATTTGATAAAAACGGTTCTGTACCTCGGACCACTTTGTGGAGTGCAGTTTGCAGCAGGGTAAGCCCATTTTCGTTTTTATGTTTGTTGAAAGGTGTAAATAATAATAGTATATACGAGTAAACGTATGTGTGCATTGTTTACATGCACATGTGGGAGCTGTTAGCAAAAGAAATCCATCATATTTAAAAACATATTTTACCATCACAATATTTGTAAGTTTAGTATAATATTTATTATATATATATATATATATATATATATATATATATATATATATATATATATATATATATATATATTTATTAGAATATTTATATATATTCTTGTTTAGGTCATGTCAGAGGGATATTTAGAAAATATATCTTTTTTTTTTTGTTTGAAAGTATTTATTAAGATATGTTACTACCAGTATAAACAATATTTACAAATAGCATTATTGTCTGATTTTAATACAATTTTTCATATCAGGAACTGATTTAAAAAGAAATGTTAATTTATAATAATGATTGCTTAGTGAAGTTGATATTTTATTTGAAACTGGTTAATATTAATATAAATGATGATTACATTTTAATGTGAAATATGATGACTGAATAAATAATTTTCTAACCATAAAAATCTGCAGCCTTTTATGATTATGCATCTCTTTAACATTGTTTATGACAGCTAAATGAAAGTTATACATAATTTAACAAAGTTTGAAAAGAGAAAGAATAAAGTGTTTTTTTTACATTTTATGTTAAAATATGATTAAACTAAGTAAAGGCATTTATTTCATATTTGAGAATGTTATAATAAAGAATAGGAAAGGAGAGTGAATTTAATATCAGTACTTTATCAGACTGGTTTTCTTCATATCTTCAGTCACCATAACTATATAACTATATATATATATATATATATATATATATATATATATATATATATATATATAATAGTGTCCATGATTGAACTAGAATAAATAGTTGATAGTAGAGAAAACAGTATGCCATAAATATCTAACTTTAAATACTAACACAGCTTGTAAAATCTGAAAATAGCTTAGAAATTTTATTTAAAACAAATGATATAATCATTTTTGAGACATAGAATGTTTAGTTTTGCATTAGTAAAAGTTAAAACATTATTTTTAACAACTTATGTATATATATATATATATATAAAACTTACAACTGTGCCACAATCATTAGATAAAACAAATTAAATTTCAACTATTTTAAATTCAGTTTTTATTAATGATACACTTTTAGTATTTTTCTATCACTCTGATTATAAATCTGTATATTACCATAGTTATAATATTTATCACAGGATCACGTTCACATGGAAAAATGGTATATACCATAATATATGGCATTTTAAGCATACCATTGCGTGCTACATATTTTAAACTTTAACGATATCTTTGTGTTATCATAAGTCATTTTATATTCATAATTCACACATTGAGTACTTAAAGTTCTGATTTAGTTCAGATGGCATATTTAGGCCATAATAGTCTTTGGCATATTTTTTTCATAGCTAATACTATCACCTGTAAAGCTATAACTGTTGAATGAAGTGACAGATAAAGAGAAAAAAAATTTTGATTTAACTCTATTCTAATATACGTATGGCAGTGTCATAATTACATAGTCTAATGAGAATAAGTTTTGAAATATGTATATATTTAAAATTGTGACACATCTAATAGTTTCTTAAAAAGCTTATATACCTTCGGTTGTTTATAAAAGCTAACTTTATCTGTACAATTGTGGCAAAGTTTCCATTATTTTTTTCCGTTCAGATAATAATAATTTAGAAGTGCTATCTAAGAAGTTGTACTTTGTGGACATTCATAACAAATCATAAAGATATATTTAGCTTTTAACAATGAAATGTATCCTATTAAAGTTCACAGACTTCCATTTGTGGTTGATGATTCCAGTACATATACTTTTCTGTAAAGATCCACATGTACTCAACATTCATGCTTGCCATCCACTCTTATTCATTCGTGCTATAGGTTTATATTTTGTACATCAACATTTTTTTTTTTTTTTTTTTGTACTGGAGTGGAATAAGTCATCAGGATTACCTTACTTGTTCATTAAAGACTCTTAAATATACTTTCATTTACGTAGTAACTACTATTTTATTAAGTCCTATTAAGTGGTCCAATTATATTGGTTAATCTTTTACATAAGTTTAAGAAATTTACATTTAATAACATATAAAGATATGTACACATAAATAAACATAGAATACATGGACATTATCATAACATTAGTAAACATCAATGATTTAAATTTAATACCACTTTTTTTTTATATATAGCTTTAATATTTAGTTATCTATAAAAGAAATTAAACAAAATTAAAGGTCCAGAACCTTTATATGGCAATTGCTTCATGTAATATATTCATTGATATTTGTGGTTCAAATATTATATCATAAGTATTTTTAATACCAATAAAAAAAATGTTAATTGTGCATCTTGATTTTTTTTTTAATTATTTCTTAATGATATTTACAACTGTATTAAAGAAATACATTGTGCTATTATTAAAATTAACTTGAAGTAATAAATTATGAATAATTTATTAAATCCTCATATTTATTATCAACCTGTAGTTAATATGAATTATAATGTTTGATTATATACTTATTTTTATAAAGTTCTTATTCTTTTTAACTTTAGCTAATCAAATTTATGACATCATTAAAAAAAATAATAATAATAAATATGTACCAGATTTATATGTCAAAGAAATGACTTGTTGATGAAATACTTGCTTACCATCCCTCTCACTTGTATTATATTTAATTGTATTCCTTTTTTTAACTGAACAATTAAATTTTGCTTGGTTATGTTATTATATTGTTTGTTATCTAATAAAATATGTATTCGTTGAAATGTTGACCAATAAGATATGCTATTTTTTAAAATTATTTTTTATTTAAAAGTATAAGTAACTAAATATCTAAACAATATCAATAGACTTATTAAAAATTTAATTTATTTTCTTTCTAAAAAGTTTTATTACAACAATTTAAGTTTTAAAAAAATTAGTGAATAAAGGAATGCAAATATTTTATATATTTTTGAAGTTTTTGTCATTAAAATACTAAATAGTGGTCAGAAATCCAAGTGCACATAGATTCCTATCTGGATAGTAACAATTTTGAGTGACCATATCAAATATTTTGAAGATAGTATGGCACATCTTTATACGATTGTAAAAAATACAGCAGCATTAAAACATTAAATAAAATGTAGTTTTTGGATAGTTATTCGTGCTAAAACTAAAAATGCCTTTTGCTAACGTAAACTTCAAAAGTTACTATTAAACTATTAAATGATGTACTTATTTTCATTAAAATTTATGACATGGCAATTGCACAAACATGGTTCTGTCCCAATGATTAAACAGTACTATTAAATATTATTAAAAATATTTATATTTATAAGAGTGATTCATGAAACGAATTATACTTCTTAATTTTATCTTTCTAGATATACATTGAATTACAGAGTTATCTTTCTGTAGTATAGTCACTTAAAATATATTTACAGACACTTATATGTGCAACGTTTTCGAAAGACTTCTTCTTAAATTATGAAAAATAAAGGCAACTTTGAAATTTACAAGACTGTTTTTCATAGCTTCATTCATTTTCAAGTAAATTTGTGTCCAATTTTTGCCTCTTTTAAAAATAATTGTACTTAATAAATTTACATAATAAAATTATCCCATCAAGAATATTTATTTTATTTACAACCTTATACCCAGTAAATGTTTTAATTTAATTATATGATTATATTAAATGAATATTGAGTAACCATAAAACATTACTATAAATATATAATGCTATAAATATTTTTTTTCAAATGTTTGAAGGTAATAATTTCTATAAAGCAGTTAACATTTTTCTGACAAAATGAAAATATAATATTATATATATATATATATATATATTCAACAGCATATAGAACTAATATTAGTACAGAAGAGTAGTTTTATGTGTTGCTACAGATAGATTACTAGACTTAGACAGTAAATGTTTTAATTTATCACAGACAAAATAACATTTTTTTTTAATTTGACAAACATATAATTTTTTTTTTTTAATAATAAGTAATAGCTAAAAATTAACTCAAGTAAGCATAATATAATAAAATAATACAAAGGAGAAAAGTATGCCCCTGAACATTGCATAAAAATACTTATAAGCAAATCTTTATTCCTTATTTACCCATAATTAATACTGTAACAATGACATTACTTTCTTTAGAGTACAATATACTCTAGCTATAAAGTAATAATTAAATAAATGACTAATAAATTGACTGAAGTATGAAAATACAAATTTTAAGGTATTAGGTTAAGAAATTTAATTTTGAGACAGACTAGATTTAGCACATACACAAACAAGCATGTGCGTGTGTGTTTGTTTATATGTGTATATGTGTTTAACAAAAATTAAAAACAGAATAAAGGAAATTAATGAGATGGAGTAACAACTTGACCTGCATGCATTTAATTAAACACCTCATTTTTCCATTTAGATTGTCCACACCTGAACTTTTTCTGCTATAATACACCAGTTAGCATGATCATAATATGAAGAAATTATGTGTAAATTTTCTACATATTTTTCAATCAACTGATCTAACTCTCCTTCTCTAAAAACGTGATAGTACCTATGAAATGTAATAGCGCCCCCTCCACTGTCTGATAATAATGAATCTTGTGAAGTAGACCCACTCAATGAAGTTTCACAACTCTGAGCTTTTGCCAATATTTCTGAAGGTTCTTGAGTTGAGGCCCTTTGGCGTACTAATTTATTCATTGAACTTCTAGGCAGGGGCATTTCCTCTGAAGATGACCTTCCATCACACCTTGCCATTCTCCTGTCTGCAAATCTTGCATCTTTGCTACAGTCACTTGCTTTGTCAGAAGTAATTGATGCGGTACTTGGTGTTTTACCTGCTGAACTTGTATTCTGTCTACTAATGTCACTTCCTGTTCGGTCAGATACATCGCCTGCATCACTTGATTCAACTGAGTTACCAGGTCTTAAGAGAGAGTTCTGGCTACCACTAGTTATATCACTCAATGAAGCTGTGTCCTTGCGTGAGTCCCTACTACCATCACTACCTGTTCGCTCAGAAATATCCCCTGCATCACTTGATTCAATAGATAGGCCTGGTTTAAGAGAAAAAATACTAGGAGAATGAG